GGAAAAGTAAAGAAATTAGGCCCATTCTCATAATATCCTTGAGAAATGAGTATCACGGCAAGCCATGTACTGGTTATAAAGCATGTGTGATGACATGAGATTGCATTTTGATTTAAGATTATATTTATTCTCGACCCCATGTAACCTTGGCACAATCGTTTAACCTCAGCTTTCTCATCTAGAAGGTGGGAACAATAACAACTGTCATATTCAAAGTTTGTGAGACTCAAATGTCATAATGGATCTTTTGTGTCCACAGAGTTGGCTTGGAGTCTTGGCTTTGTCATTTATTAACTTGTGTGGCCTTGAGGTTTATTCTTAACTTCTGCTTCAACGAAAAAAGTATATAAAACACCCAGCATTGTGACGGGCACACAAGTGCTCAGTAAGCGATAGCTGTTGTATGATGTGACATGGCTCTGAAAAATATAAGGTAGATGACTTCATGAAAAATATTATTGTAAGTCATCATAAACATGCTGTTCTTTATATACATTGAAGTGTTGCTTCAGAATTGCTGGCAGGAAGGTATAAACTTTGATTTCCCACCCCCTTTTCTTTCACATACTGCTCCAAGTGACAGTTGGAAAGGGGGTAAGGAGTACAATGTCTGGTGATGGCATAATTAGCCTTCCCTTTGTCACAGGGGCAAGGAGGCTATACCTCTTACCCTGACCATCACTTCTCCATCTCTGAATCTTCAAAAGCTCACAGCTTTGGTAAACATTTTTTTTTATTCTTTTCGTAAACCAGCTAACATTACGAATTCCCAATATAAGAACACAGGTTCTAGTTTGTGTTGAAAAGTGAAGCCTAATGGTCCTTGGTCCCCTTGGCCCACGCTGCTCTGTAGAAGGAAATAGACACCTGTGGAGGGCTGCTTCTAAGCCACAAGACAGTAGCCATTCTTGCTAGGGAAATGCAGCAGCTGCAACTTGGCACTGCTTGGGTTTTAACCAATATTCCAACAGTCAGAGATCGCACAATCAAACATATCCCTCTACTGGGAAAATACTTGAACAGGGGACAGAGAAATCTAATTGGCTCTTCTTATTTATCACCCCTGAACCTTTAGTTTCCTCTCTTACCCTCTCCACCAGCTCATCTATTTGACAAGATTATTTCAAGGAAGGAGTGAATAAGTACACAGCCTTGTTTTCCTGGGAAGAGAGATATAAAACAGGCTCAAAGGACTGTCATCACTTTGCAAGTCTTCAGGGGCTTTATGGGTAACTATTAATTGTAGCATTCCTGGAAAAAAAAAAAGAAAGAAAAAGAAAACCTCTTTGCTGGAAGCACCTACTAAGATTTTCATCTACATCTGTACCAACTCTCAATCAGAGTTAAAATTAATAGTACCTTAAAAGTAAGCCTTAGATGTATGTAGGCCTAAATTGTTCATAAAGTTCCTTCTCCTGTATCAAAATGGACCCTTTCTGTGCTCTCTTAGCACTCAGTGAGAAGTACTATGATCCTGTTTTCCACTGGGGAAAACTGAGGTTTATAGAAAGGAAAGGCTGGGGAAAACTTTCCTGGGTAATAAGGCCTGGCTAGGCTCCAGGGCTTCTGTATGCTACCCTGATGTTCTTTAATGTACTGAACATAATGCAAAATCTCTTAACAGTAAGCAAGTATCTCTGAATCTCAGCAACCTTTACAGTCAAGTATTACCACCATCCAGGACTGTAACAAACTACCGTAATTCAGATCCCTGGAAGTTTTATTTTTATTTAGAAAATAAAACCCTATAATTAGGGTTTTCTCATTTGCTTCTCTTACCTTTTGGTGGTTTCAGGCTATTTACACTTTTGCTGTTTAGCTTTTCAAGCTATTTCCAATGGCTAAGTCTTCTATAGGTAGCGAGAAATGGAATAATGCTCATTGGAGATTTGATTCTATGCTAACCCTGAAGTTTGGTTCTTGCTAGGTTCCAATAAACTAACTTTCTGAATAATCCCCTCAAGGAACAAGTAACTATTTTTAATTGTAAGAATAACAGGGGAGCAAAATGAGGACCCAGAGCTCCCAAACTCTTGCTGTGTGCCAGAAGGACCAAGACTTGCTCCTTTGTGAGCAGCCTCCTTTAGAACTTGTTGGTGGTCACTTCTCCCTAATCTACGATTGTGGCCACAATGAATTCTCCCCTGAGTTCAACATCACTGTTTTCCAAGCCCACACTCCCCTTTCAGTCACAGGCAGGTTGCTAGTATGTGGGCAAGCTTCCACACATGGTATGGGGAGTAGACATGACTTCATGCACTGCTGTAGACAGAGGAACTGCCAAGGCTCGGCGCCCAGTCCCCCCAAGTGTTCCTGGCTTTTGGAATCCTTCTCTTTGGCTGTGAGGTAACCAGACCACAGGGGATGCTTTAGATTTGTAGGCACACCCTTACCTTGTATATTCTCAAACCCTGTCCTTCAGGATTTGCATGTCCCCAAAGAGCATCTCATAGGTATACTCACAAGCATTAGGAAAATATTTGCCAACACATATCCATTTTTCAGAACTAATAATGCAAGAAACCTGAAAGATAACTTTAAGCCAGCTGTGCAAGAGGTTCGGTGAGTTCAATAAAGTTTTGCTGTATATGCTATTTTATTGGAGGGTAGGAGGGTGAGGAAGATCTTACATTTTTGTTTAAGAAATGTTCAAGGGCAGCTTCTATTAAATTACTGTTTTGTTTTATTTTTTGGTCTTGAAAATTTTGAGAAATACAGAGGACTTGTTAAACTTGGGGTCTGATGACTTCTATTCTCCATTATGATACCAAAAAACATCACACCAAAGACATGTATTTCTTCTTCAGATGGAAGGTGCATGTTTATGTGTATTATAAATGAGTACAGGAGCTGATTAAAGCCCTGAATACAGTGAGTCAGGTGTAGCAGTTTTCTGTTAACTACTGAGAATCATAGTTAACAGTTAATTGGCTTGATTTAAACATATCTGAGAATTGCCTTAGGCATCACAGCTGAGATGAGAAAGCATGGAAGAGAGAGAGGCCCCCTCTCAAGAAAAGGGGAGAGGAAAGAAAGGAAACCTATTACCGGGCCCAAACCCATTCGGTTTAGGTTTAAAGAAAAGAGGTGACCTTATGACTGAAAAAAAAGTTTAACATATTTAGTGCATCTCAAGTGAAAGAAGCCCTTTAGAATGTGTCAAAACTGTTTAAATGTTTGCTTTTTCTTCTTGAGAAACATCTCCTACCCTTTATTTCCATGAAACACAAGTCAGGCTTAATTTGCTAGAGCAAATGTTGCTTTACAGACGACTTTACTTTCTGTACAATATGTGCAGTTATGTTAAAAATTTGCCTCTTCTGGGAGGGCACCTGAGACATAGGCAAATCCAAACGCCCAGAGAGGCTTTTATATATTACTAAGACAATCTTTTCCTTTATTTCACGAGGTGTGTGTGCACGTGCGTGCTCGGGTGCGCACACGCAAGTATGTACACATCTACTTTACTGTTTGCATACACTGTCATACTAGGTCACTACGCTGGTATCTGTAAGAGCCAAACACAAATTCTTTAACAATTATTATTCCTCTTTTTACCCTTTTAGGGTACTCTCTGACTTCTTGAAATCTGACTTTAAAAGGCACTGATTTAAACAAATAAACAAACAAAGCACCCCTTTAGCCAAAGCTGGAACGTTTCCAGAACGACCCTTCAACTAGGTAGGGCAGAGGTAGGGATGTGAGTGTGTGCACTTTTGAGACTTGGTTTCTTCCTTACACATTCATTTTGTCAATCAAGGACATACTGATAGATGTAAGAGGTCAAGAGCAAGCCAAGAGCAGAAAGGAGCTCTATTGTGCGAGGAGGAAGGGGGGTAACCCTGAAGGAAATAACGAATGATACCCCAGTCAGCAGGGAAAGTGTGAAATTTTAAATGTGTGTATTTACTCCTGGAAAATGGGTGCAGGTTTATTCTAAACCCTGGATCGTACTTGGAGTCTAGTGAGGAAGGAAGGAATCGTGGAGCCAGACAACGCTGCAGACGGGGTGTGTGACTTTCTTAATCAACTTTCCCTCCTCCCCTAGAACCAGAAGTGAAACCTTTCCTCCTCCCAGTCCGGGTCCCCTTTCTCCACCAACAACCAATACTTCCCCTTTAAGGATCGGAGGCAGTCCCTCCATTTCTCCTCCCAATCCCGCCCTTCACACCTTGGGTGGGAAAAGCGAGTGGGCGGGGTCCCCCGTGAGGGAGGAGGGGCGGGATCTTGGTGAGCCCTCCAATGGCCCGCCAGGCTGGCCGCCGTCGACGCCGGCAACCAATGAACAGCAGCCAGTGGGCGTGGCGCGGCGTGGTTGCAAAGCATCCAACGTGGGTCGGCAGGGGGGCGCGGAGCCCGGGGGTGTGTGAAGGCCAGCGGCCGGAGGCGGGGCCTAGGGGGCCAGCCCGGGCTGTGCCGCAGGGAGGCGAACGGCAAGCGGCTGATTGTTCGGCCGCGAGGTCGGCGGGGCTCTCGCAGCTCTTAGGAGCCTTGTGGAGCCGGAACTGCGCGCGCGCGCGCTCTGCTTTCAAGCCTGTGGCAGCGAGACGCACGGGCCCTCGGAGCAGTGCGGGGGTGGTCGCTCCATCAACCCAGGGTCTGCAGCTGGGCGCGAGGAGCTGCGAGGGAGATGCCCGCAGCTGCGGAGCTCGGGCTGCGAGGCTGAGCGCCTTCTCTGCTGGCGGCGGCGGCGGCAGCGCTGCCCTTGGCCAGCAGCGGCGGCAGCGGCACTTGGCGTGCGCCGAGACTTGGGGGCCGGCCGGGAGCGCAGCAGGAGGACGAGGAGAGCCGGCGGAGCACCCCTTGCCAGGATCTTTGGGGTTCGCAGCGTGTACGGGCCGGTCGGCCCGGATGGGCGCGGGGTTCGCGGCCCCCACCGGGCGCTGCGGAGCGGCCCGGGGACTGGGGGCCCGCTGAGCCCCGGGGCCGCGACGGCGGAGAAAAGTTGTACGGGTGGCCATGCCCCGGAGCGGAGCCTAGAGCCGAGTGGAGCCCGCGGAGCCCGCCAGTGCCAGCGGTCGTCCGGGACCTCACAGCCCCTTTGCCGGAGTTCGCAGCGCGCTCCAGACAAGATGGCGCGGCCGGTCCGGGGAGCGTTCGGGGCCCCACGCCGCTCGTCTCCTCTTCTCCTTTGGCTGCTGCTGCTGCTGCTTGGGCTCGAGCCGGCGATGGCCACGGACGGCCGGCGGACTCCCTGCGCCGCCGCCTGCACTTGCGCTGGGGACTCGCTGGACTGCGGCGGGCGCAGGCTGGCGGCGCTACCCAGGGACCTACCCGCTTGGACGCGGAGCCTGTGAGTGCCACTCTCTTCACTGCGCCTCGGGGTGCTGTCACTTGAGGAAGGGCCGGCGGCGGTGCTTTTCCCCAAGGGGTGCGGGGTGTTGTGTGTGTGTGAAGTTGGGCTGGAAAGCTGTTAGCGTCGAGTCGTAGTGGTTAGCTGGTGCGTGGGGTACGGAGAGGAAAAGGGCGCGTGTGCGAAATCTACAAGGAGAAAGTTTCTCGTGGGGTTGGAACTAAGAACGAACCAAGAGTTAGTGAGTGAGAACCTGGAGGTGAGGGAATGTGAGTGAGCAGTCTGGCAGTGAGAGTGTGTTCAAGTGTGTAGGTGGACAGCGGGAAACATCTGGAGGAGAGAGAGTGGGGAAGTCGGGGGTCTGCGACTGTGTGTTTCTTTCTCCCCTGTAACCCAACTCTTTGGTGACTGAGCTCCTTAGCCTTCCAGTGGGTAATGAATGAAGGTGACTCTTGACTCCAGTCTTCTGTTTGCGCTATTTATTAGTGAGATTGTTTGTAGTTGCTTTCGCCTTGGCTCTGGTGGGGACAGAAGGCAGCCTTCCCTGGAAGGACACCTGAGTTAGGGTCCCTGAGCTTTCCTGGAGATCTGTGACTCCTGGGAATTTGCCCTTTTCTGCTTGTTTGGCATTCTAGCCCCTTCTGTTCTTTTCCCCAGGTGCCCACCTGGGCTTAATGGTACAGTGGGGTGAGGCCCACACACCCACTAAAATTGCTCCTTGATAAGTGGTGCAAGTTAGTGTTGGATTAGTTTTTCTTTAGGAGAGGCTGCAGGGGCTTAATTTAAGCAGAGTTTATCCCAGAAAAATTTGGTTTCTGTGCTGTTAAGATTTTGGTAGACTGGGACTTGATTGGATACTTCTTATGGGAGATTGGACTGGAAAAAAAAATAATAAGAGTATACTAAAGATGGTAGAATACAGCAGCTGTTTTTACTTGTAGAAAATCGGATCCCTGAGTCAAAATCATGTCCAATAATCAGTGATTAGCATCTCTTTAGAACAATTAGTACCTTCCAGAAGAGGCCTAGCTTGAATAATCTGCTTTTCAGTCGAATGGTAGCACATCTTGCCTAGAATATAGAAGAGGCACAGTAATAACCTCAGGCGTGACATTAACTGCTTAGGAAAGAGAAACAAAACTGGTGACACAAGTTCTATCTAACACCTGTGGCTTGCTCTGAGAAAATGAGGTCTAGATACTTGGCAGCCATGAGGAGAGATAAGCTAATTCCTTTCAAATGTGAAGATCTTGTACCCCTGAATACTGGACAAGGTGCTATTTTGGCTAAGCTACATGACATAATTCTCAAGCTGGATAATTTAGTTAAGGTTAGATTTTGTTTCCAGTATCCTGCTGCTTCTGTAGTATTTGGTCACTGAGTGGAAACTGGTGGCAATAATTGGGTTTTAACACTGGCAGTGGCTGTTAAGTACTGGGAGGTTGGAACCAGCATTGCTTTGGGTGGTATTTTATGTAGTCATAGCACTCTAGGGTATTGCAGTCTGGAGTATTGTGGTTTTTCCTCTACATATTCCTAGGGTAGTTACAAAAAAAAAAAAATCGTGGGCAGAATCAGAGTAACTTAAGTGTGTTTACCTGTTGGGAGCATTAAGTCCCAGTGCCATGCCTCAGTAACATTGTGGGGAAAGCACTTAGTTCAGAAGTGGTGGTGACTTCCTTGAGGGTATAGGGTGTCTTCTTTGCACTCTCCTCCGGTCACAAGATCCTCTTTCCCTTGCCCATTAATTTTTGGAGCAAAACTTACAGTCTCTTTTTGGGCTTTCTGTTGCCTAGGTATGACATTTTATATGGCATGAATACCTTTAAAATTAAACTTTTATATTCTTGATGGTCAGTAAACACCAAACTGTTTTGAGATTCGGTAGATTTGGTTATACTGATTGTGATATTAACCCATTGTCTTTTAAGATATGGACTGTGAGACTTCTGGTTAGTGTGTAGCAATCTGATGTTCACTACAAAATGGATAATTCTTTTACAATTATTTGGGAAGTTATTTCTTTTTATAATTAAAGAAAAATAAGCAAATCTTTTCCTCTTGGCTTCAGATTTCTTCATTTAAGTCATTAGACTTATTCTGAATTTTCCATTAGTATAGTTTCATGGTTTATATTCCTGGCCTTGATTCAGCAGTACTTTAGGGGAGAAAAATCTCCGTATGTTTAATAATAAAATAGCTTATAGTTTCACCAAGTTTACACCCTCTGAGTTCATTGTGTCTTGAAATGCTTTGAGCTGGTTTATAGCCCCATGAACTAGATTTACTGTAGCTAGTTCAAACAATTTCAGGCTCTGAGTTTGAAACAGAAGGGGACCTGAGGCTTTATGGAACTTTTTCTTTCCATTTTTTGGGCTTTTGTAAACAGTGCATCCCTTCCCACATCTAGCATAAGGAAAGTAAAGCTTTTTAATAGTGAATGTAAATGCAGTTTGAAGAAATGTAATGGAGTTGATAGCAGGGAAACTGTGTTCATTCTCAGGGCCAGGGGATAACTTATTCAGCACAACTTAAAGTTGTAGAAGTCAAGATATAACTGACTTTGCCATGCCCTTACGTAGGTGAGATTGGCGTCGTCCAACCAGCAATTCATAAATAGCACCAAGCACTGCCAAGCCTATTGCAATTTCCCAGAACCTTAGAGCTGAACTTATTAGAACTCAGATGTTTGCTTTCTTTGAACTTATCTTTGAGAGCATGGCTTTAGAGGCTATTTAAGATGTTCTAAATACAATTTACCTTAGACCCTTACTAGTGGCATAATGTTGACTACAGAATGTTCTAGCTTAACTACTAAATGGCGGATGGTGGTAGAAGGCTGGGCCGGCCCTGAAGGAAGACCAGACCCTAATTCTTGTTATCCATGTGGAGGGAAGAAACTATGACACAGATGCAAGGATATTCACTACGGGACGCCAGATTGGTCAGACTGAGCCACTTTAAGATGTGGGTATTGAGTTGGGTCTTTTGGCTTATGTCTCTTATGTGCTTGCCTTGCCAAACCCGGTGGCTTAAATCTAACTTTGTGGGTTTTAGTAAGTTCGTCGTGCTTATGATTATATTTGAAAATGAAGGGCAAGCTCTGGTTGCCATTGTAGTCTTGAAGCAAAGAGGGCCTTTGTCTTCCAAATTTTACACCTGTGCTTAGAGGCCCAGGTGTGCAGTGTGTTGTGAAGTAAGGGTTTGGAAAATGCTTCCCATCCTGTTTATGCAAATTAGGTTTGAAGTGCAGATGACCAAATTGTTTCAGAACCAAACTTGGGTTTCCTGCGTGTGTTTTTTTAGAAGTGGATGTCGCCTACATTGTCCCAACATCTTCCCTTCTGCCCATTTCCCTTTCTGATCCTATCACTTAACAAGAACTCTGAGGACCTTGAACATCTGATTTGTAGGGAAGGGCCAAGGATTGTTTGGAATAGAAGCCTTATAAATATGGGGGGGGGGTAGTGGAGAAAACCTGAAAGTATAAGTGCCCTCAACATTTTAGGAAGTTGAAGCTTGAGTTAAGAGTCCTTTTCAACAAGTGTCAGCAGCCTAGCCCAGAAGCCATCTCCATGATGGAACACCCGTCTGTTGCTAGTTTTCAGCCTATTTAGAGTAAGGGGAAGTCTCTGGCAAATAAAATTTGGTTCCCTGGAGATAACACTACTTAAAACCTACTGATGTGAAATGAGCTCTTTAATATCTAACTGTAGAATACTGTGAAATTAAGAAGGGCTCCAAGCCCCTTACATGACAGTGTTGGCAACATCACATGACAGTGTTGGCACAGTTCCCTATAATCAATAGGATGTGTCCAAGCAGTTCTTGCCCCATTTCAAGGGACTGTTTGAAAAAGAAGCTTGCTCATCCCTTTCCACAATTACATTTGGGCACTAGATACCACAAATTTTAGACTTCTGAATGCATCATCAGTGCTAATTCTTGGGACCATCTCCAGAAAGATGAAGATAATTGAGTGCGAAGTAGATGAGACAGTTGCTAGCGGATGTTCGGCACTTCAGCTGTGCAGTTCAGGCTTCAGCTTTCCCGCTTTGAGTGTTAATTCCTTCGCCTGGGTGCTCCACACAGCCTTCCCCAGCACTTTTCTATGGCCTCTGACTGACCTTTCTCCCCCTCAGACACCCCTGCTCACAATGAAAGGGCCTCTCCCCCATTCTGTAGAGGTGTCTCCTTGGTGCAGAGTCTTTTCAGCATCCTCTCTTTCAGGGTAGACAGGAATGCAAGAGAGCACTGGGTTTTGTGTGACTTAACAATGCACCTGGCCCAGTTTGTGCACCTGCTAAAGCCCTGAAGGTCTGTTAGTAAGGGAAGGCAGGAAAGAGGTTGTTAACATACTGTATGGTTATTTTTAAAGTGATATTTACAGACCAGGGCATTCCAGAAAAGGGTTTCATTGAATTGAAAGTTCCTATAAGCAATAAAGGATGTGGTTGTACCAGGGTCTTTTTTTCTTCTTTTTTTTCCATTTGTTTAAAACTCAGAGGGATTCCTCTGACTTACCCCATAGACTGAAGGACTTTAAGTTTTATGAGCAAACCTAACTTTCAACTTCTTTTGATTGAGCTTAGTGGTTTTCACTCACTGGGGACCTTCCCCCTCCTCAGTGACAGCAATTTGAAACCCTGGGGGTCTTTTAAAAGAGAGCAGGACTCTGGGCTGTGTTAATATTCAGAGCTGTTTACAATGGATGCAGTTTCAAAGGCTGGAGGCTTGTCCTGAGACCTGAGGGAGGAGGGATGGAAGAAAAATTCCCAGGCAGAGGAGGGAAATATCTAAAAATCTTCAAAGTTCCCCAGCCTGTGGGAAATTTAGGGACCCTTAGTGTTGATTTTTATGACTTAGGCATGACACTTAACCTATGGGATTTTCCCATCAATGCCAAGGCGTCAGCTCTTGGTGTGCATCAGTAATGTATGTGTATGTATCTTTTATTTCAAGTTAAGGTGGGGGAACCAGTAAGAGGACAGACCTGTTAT